AATATGTCAATATTGTTCCTGAACAAACTTGCGCTCTGTAAATTTTAAAGCTAAAATTGTTGAAATTTTGTCCATTTTGTCCTCTTTCTGAAAAAGGATGTAAAATCGGACTAGTTTGTGACGTCATAAAAACAAAAAATTGTGAATATACTGCTTTGACACTATAATATTTTCTGTTAATTGTCCCCCGCTTTCGCGAAAGCGAGGGGACATCAAATCTCATTCGTCTGTCCGTCGGTCCGTCTGTCTGTCCGTCGGTCCGTCAGTCTGTCCGTCCGTCACAAAAACTTTAACCCTGCCCATAAATTTCGATTTAATGGAGCTATCATTTTCATATTTCATATGTGTATTTCTTGTGATAAGACCTTTCTTTAGGTACCACCAAATTTGACCTTTTGACCTTGACCTTGGAGTTTCAACTACTTTTACTAAAAAATTCCAAACTTTTACTTTGGCCATAACTTTTACATGGTGGATACTAGGACTTTCATATTTCACATATTTATTCTTTATGACAAGACCTTTCAAAGAATACCAACAACTTTGACCTTTTGACCTTGACCTTGGAAATTTACGTACTTATGAAAAAACTATATTCTTGACCATAATTTCTGAACGGTAAGGGCTACGGCTTTTATACTTCACATATTTTATTCTTGTAAGAAGACCTTTCATTGGATACCAATAACTTTACCTTTTGACCTTGACCTTGGCGTTTTAATTACTTTTTAAAAATTATAACCTCGGTCACAACTTTTGAACGGTAGATACAAGGACTTTTATATTTCACACATGTGTTCTTTGAGGCAACACCTTTCATTGGATACCAACGACTTTGACCTAAGGACCTTGACCTCGGAAATTTACGTACTTCTGAAAAAACTTTAACCTTGACCATAACTTTTAAACGGTAAGGGCTAGGGCTTTCGTACTTCACGTATGTAATCCTTGTGAGAGGACCTTTCATTGCATGCCAAGAACTTTGACCCTTTGACCTTGACCTTGGACTTTTAACTACTTTTTAAAAACGTTAACCTTGTTCACAACTTTTGAACAGTAGAAACTAGGACTTTCATATTTTAAATATATGTATTCTTTATGGCAAGACCTTTCATAGGATACCAAAAACTTTGACCTATTGACCTTGACCCTAAAAATGATATCTTGCCCACAAAGATACCAAAAGCGGGGGACCACAATTCTTTGAATTTGCTTGTTTGTATTTCTCATTCAATTTACTAGTATTGAATTCAGCACATTTCAGGAAGTTTTCAAATTTTGACTTTTGTGGGGGCAAATATATGCAATATACCGCATATAGTTCTTCTACGTTATCCATTTTTAATGTGTAGATTATAAGTTATCCAGTTTATGTATGAGTGATTATTATTTATCCATTTTATATGTGTAGATTATTAGGTATCAAATTTCATTAAAGTATGTACTTGAAAAACCTCATTTAGTATTACATACACTGTGGAGTCAAAGGACGAATGGTGAATGGAATACAAACCATCTGAAAAACATTCATGTGACAGAACGGAGAGCAACAGTGCCACTCATACAAAATGCTGTTTATGCCCTCCATTTATCTTATGCTAGGCAAATGCCTGTATTGTAACGAATGAGTGAAAACAAGTTCCCTGATGGTCCTGCAGCTTTGTTAATTTTTACCTCGTTAAAACACTACAAGACATAGAGTGATGAATATTGTCATTTATGAATGACGAAGATAACAACTAATAACAAATAAACTACCTTAACTACTAGGGAGATCCCAGACAAACGTACAGAGGCTTATTCAGCACCTAATATCACTATGGCAGCGGAATCTCCCTAAGTCTAAGCAAGACATGATTATCATTGCTGAATGTACATTTAGAAGATGGGAGATCACCAGGAAATATATATACAAAAATGGCAGGGGGATCTCCCTGTGATATGAAAAATCAAAACAATGTAAAAATTGAGGTGCCATATACAAAAATTTGGCCACAAAATCCAATGTCAATTGGATTCCGCAACTGGAGTACAGCCATCCGTAAAACATTCATATGACAGAACGGAGAGCTACAGTGTCACTCATACAAAATACTGTATAATTATAGCTCAATATTTACAACAAAAACGACCGCGCTAACTAAGGACATACACAAGGTACCTTACCTATTTACAATTTTTCAAGATATTCTAATTTTAAAATTATACTGAATTAAACTTATATTTTTCTTCGACAAAAAATCAGCATGAATTACCAGGGGTTCTGAACTTATTTGAAATTATGAAAATTTCTGTTTTGCATTATTCAAAGAAAAATAAACAAAAATTACGAAACATCAATTCCAGATTTTATTCCATCAAAATTTGTTTATTGATTGATTGATTGTATATTGTTTAACGTCCCTCTCCAGAATATTTCACTGATGTGGAGACGTCACCATTGCCGGTGAAGGGCTGCAAATTTAGGCCTATGCTCGGCACTCAGGGCCTTTGAGCAGGGAGGGATCTTTATCGTGCCACACCTGCTGTGACACGGGGCCTCGGTTTATACGGTCTCATCCGAAGGACCGCCCCATTTAGTCGCCTTTTACGACAAGCAAGGGGGTACTGAGGACCTATTCTAACCCGGATCCCCACGGGGTTCAAAAGAGTTTAATCCACAATGTGCCATATTCGGCCTAGCAAATTAGGAAATTTTAAACACAGCTTCAGAATAAATTTGTTGGTATAATTCTAATTTATAACATTTACCAAATTAATTTATGCAGTAGTCCTCTCTCACCGGATGTTTATTAAAGCAAACTAATTGCCCGAACCTAACACAGTTTCAGGTTTCCGGGAAAATCTCGCTGTTTTACCCACTTCAGTATTAAAATTCACATAGAGCACATTCGTTACGGTTTAATTTTCTTTCAAAAAAATAAACTACAATATTAAATCAATATTTCTGATAAAAAATATTTAACCGTAAACAATGTGACCAAGCCGAAAAAAAATATTACAATATATGCGCGGCAACTTCAAAAGTATCGTCTGGAAGCTGGATTCCAAGAAAAAAAATCATGTAATAATCGGAAACATATAAAACCTTCGAAGCAGTGATATTACTAGATATTTTCTACAGAAAGGTGAGTGTTTTATGTTTTTTCAATATATGAGTCAATTGTTAAAAGGCATAGTAACTCTTAGGCCTAATTAAACTCAAACGAATATTGGAAATCATGGGCCCAAGATACATGTACGTTCAACAATGTTCAAGATACCTTACATGTAACGCCACAGACAGAAAAAAAAAAACAGTAAAAACCTAAATTTTCATATTTAATTTTACTTAAAATAATAAATTAGATTTAAAAAAAAACATTAAACTGTCAAAGTATATTTACTTGGAACCTGTAGGCCTATACGTTAAATATCTTTTACATGTAGGTCGGTACATGTATGTTACGCAAAAGATACGATCGAGTTTCCGAATATGATCAGTGTACCCGCAACATTCCTACATGCGGCATTGTAATTACACATGTTCATACAACACTAACTTTGTTCTGGCAATGACTAAACGACAATACACATTTAGTAGTCAAGTACTCGATTTATTTCACAAAAGAATGTATCCACGACAGATCGTTCATTTACCGACTATTTATAATATTTTTGCATGAATAATTAATAGGTGCTGTATTCGCAAACAGTTAAAATCACATCAAATTAAAGTGATATGATTTATTTGGATGGCTGTATCTGTTGGTAAATGGATATGAATATATCTTGTTTGCTAATATTAAAAAAAAATGAAATCAGTTCCTAAGATTTTTTTTCTTAATTTATTTTTTATTTTTCTAAAGGGCAATAACTACGATCTCGGCGTGGTAGCATCGAAAACAAAAATAAAGTGACTCAATCGGAAATTTCTTTTTATACTAATAATAATTGAAATCATAATAATTGTATCAATTATAATTTGTTTTGTGTGATTGCAATCAATAAATATAACATGGTAAAAAAAATACAATGAAACAAAAATAAAAACATTTTTAAGGTCTTCCGTTTCCAACGGAAGACCTTCTACTGATTCTGATGATTAAGATTATTAAGGTCTTCCGCTCAGGCGGAAGACCTTCTACTGATTCTGATGGTTAAGATTATTCCCTATTATTAGGGTCTTCCGCTTCCATCGGAAGACCCTACTGTTATTCTATTTAGGGTCTTCCGAGCTTCCTTCGGAAGACCCTACTGTTATTCTACTGTTTCTTATTATTATTTGCTTTTTTTTTCCCGCCGGATTTTTGACAGGCGATTTCTCAAAGACCTTTGGACTGATTTTTATGAAACGTTCAGGTTAGATACCTTGTATTTACACCTATTTACATCTGCTTTCAATTTTTTGATACATGCCTTACTTTGTGAGTTATTGCCCTTTAATTGATAATTTTGATGTCTCGTGTCCACTAATAAACTCAAGAACGACTTATGATAATTACATGAAAGTTGGAGAACTTATAGCCAATACATTGTAGATGTGCATAACGATAAAATTATAAGCTGATTTCCTAAAGATCGGAAGCTATGTGACGGCAAATTTAAGTAATTTTTTTTCCATGAAATTTTGCTTCTTTTTGTATAATAACTTTTGAACCGAGAATAATTTGGTAAGAAATATATTAGAAAAGTTGTGCATAATTACAAGAGCTTTCATATAAGATCATGGAAAAAGGGCTGGCCCCTATAATTAGGGGTTAATAACTCATACACGTTTATTTCTGTTAGCTAAAAATATTGATTTATTATGAAAAAGTTTGACTGAAATAATTTCGAACTGATTAAATCTTGTCGTTTGATATAAAGAGAAATAAACTTCAAGCTATATTTAATACTTTTTTATAAAACAAATATGTGAGAAACCTTACAGGAACAAGTTGTCTACTATAGCCTCTTGCATAGTTTTAGTTGATCGATGCATCTGAAAGATATTATTTTGATTCGGTGTTTCTCTGTTTTTTTATTATTCAAATAATAAATATAATGTGATTTTGTATACAACAATAGGTAAAATCAAAATATTTCTGCATTAGTTAAGAGGAAGTCTTTTCGGGGCCTCTTGTTTGTAAACAACGCGCGGCATTGTGGGAAATGGGAAGGTACTAAAGACCTGATATACTAAAAACCTTATTTGACCTGATTCAAAATCGTCAGTAAATATTCCAAACAAACGAATTTTTGTATAGCATTTTGCATCATAGTCATAAAGTATTTAAATAAGTCATTTGAAGTACTCAATATTGTCATTTAATCTAAAATAAAAACATCAGGTAAATATCAGGTCTCTCGTATATCCGGTTATTAGTGTGACCCAAAAGTCGGACACATGTTTACAAACTGAAAGTTGGAATCATGTGAAGTTGAGCATTCCTTACCACACAAGCTACAGGCCGTATGTAGACATGCACGCACATTTAATCTGCAGCTACGAAGTACTTTATCAATCCTCTGGAGCATTATTTTCAGCAGAATTATCCGATTTATAAATTTGTGTGTGAATTGTTTACGAGGAAATTCCGACTGTTAAATTAACAAGCTGAGCACTCTTGACTCTGGTTCGTGGTTCCCAGTGATAAATGTATCGAGTGATGAAAGAGTCGACGGTGACATTTTAAAGTTTGATTGGCATGGACTATCGGAATGAAGGTTAGAAATCTATTTTACCTAAAATTTAAATTACTATGGCTGCTTAGAGCATTGATATTTTTAAAAATACACAGACACACCGATACATTATCTGTTTTAAGGCTCAGACGCTTTCTGTTAGCCTTTTAAAATCCCAACAGCTTTTTATTTTTTATTTAAATATATGTGAGCATTTAATTTTAACAAGACTCACTTTCAAAACAAAAAATTCAACACTCCACTATCCATCATAGTGATACTCTTATAGACCATTTCACGGTAGCTGCGGTACTGCTCTTTTGCAGGGCAAAATGATATAGTTTGGTGAAATATGACATATAAGTAATTGTTAAATATACGTCATTTAATTATCTCTCAACAAAAACTTTGCCAAACGTTATTATTTTGCCCTGCAAAAGAGCAATATATACCGCAGTAACCACGGAGGGGTAATTTACACTACACTTAATACAGAGGTTGAGATCTTAAACTTGTACGCGTACGTGTACTTGTATATATTTTGACGTACACGTACACGTTTTTTAAAAATTTGTCTGTTGAGATTTTTATGATGTGTAACATGTACGTGTACACCGAGATCGGTGTCTCTGTTTCAACTATTTAGAAGGTTTTTTGTCGTCAGTTAGTAAACAAAACTTGATGAAAATAAGTGCTCGTGAAAGCAAACATCCTATATAATGCATAACAATCACATTTTCACACTTAAATTGGCTAATTTTTATTATTAAAGCTACACGTTTTCACTTACGTGTAGATTCCATTCTACAAGTTTTAAGAACTTGTTGCAATCTTGACGTCACTAAAATTGATGACGTAATACACACAGAATTTAGGTTATTACCCTACTAGAGTAGACGTACCCGTACATGTACAGGTTTGAAATCTCAACCTCTCTATTATTTGTTGAATATACACCGTGACAATATGTTGACGGTGTGACTGTTAGGGTGAGGGCAGATACTTATTCAGTTTTAATTTAGATCGGGCTTGTCAAACCGCACTTGATATTTGGTGCATCGATGCTCTGTTCACACGGGGAGTTTAATTCAAATTAGTTTTATTAATTCGTAATTAGTTTTATTAATTTATTAATTTACTGCGAATTAAATTACTTTGCATTAGCTCCATGTGAACACAAAGGGAAGCTTATTCGAATTAAATTTTGAGGCATTTGTAATGGCAAAATTAATTCAAATGCTAGATGTTGGTGGTCAGCTTTAAGTACTTAATTGTGCTATTTTTGAGTGGATAGCCTTACTGACACTTGACTGTAGAAGTAAAAATTTTTATTCGCATTTGTTTAATTCGCATTAGATGTCATGTTAACACAGTTTGATTCCCATTAGCAGTCAGGGGTGGTACTGAAATCAGTCATTTTTGAAAATGATGGATAATGGTCATTTCTTCTAAGTATATAATGTACACAATTTTCTGATTTTTGTAAATATGACGTCTTTTCATCATATTTCCATTCTCAAGTCAATTTTCCCATCCCATTTACTACAGTAATTAGATATAGTACACTATCCTGCCATAGACCCTTGTGTAGAGAAACATCTTGACAAGTAATTGAAACCAAAATAATTTAGTGCGCCCCGTAAAACTAATGAGATAATTAAGTGCGCCCAGACCTAACAATTTGATAAAAAATGATGAAAAACAGTCATTTTTAATATCAGAGATAACTCTATTTCTAAAATAAATTTCAAAATAGAAATGACTGTTTTTCATCATTTTACTAAAAAAAGATGAATTTCCATCATTATTAAAAATCAATTTAATGACTGAAAATCATCATTTTTAAAAATGATGGATTTCAATCACACCCCTGACTGATTAGTTTGATTCGCATTAGTTTACTTTGCATTCATTTACTGCGAATTAAACTCTCCATGTGAACAGGGCACTAGACTTTGAAGTACATGATGTTGTGGTGTAAGTTAGGCCTACATTACCAGTCTAAATCTTGAATAGTGCTGACTTTAATGAAGAATTTTTTCCCCCACTATTTATCTGCAATTTATCCATTAAATCAAGGTGAATTTATTTTTTGGAAACTTTTGATCAATTCTTGCAAGAATGTAGCTTAAAGAATCAAAGCACTGTGGGTCCAAAGTTACTGCAGAAAAGAAATTGTGTGGATCAATAAGCAAGTGATAATTTTCTCTTCACCAAGGGGTTGTCATGAGAGCTTGCATTATGAGCAGCGCTTCGTGCTGCTGTCTGTAATTGCTATAAATAGCTGTTCAAACAAAGTCTTTAGTATCAAAATTTATTGACAAAAAATTTCACAATTGTTGCTCAGTTAAATCTCAAAAGAAATTTGTAAAAACAATTGTAATAATAGAAAGTTTGCTTATTTTTAGATGACTGCAGGAATGGTTTGTTTGATTATTGGCCTATCAAACATTTTCCAGTCATTTGATGATGCCACCACTTGGGATAGTAAGCTGCAAATATAGACTTGTACTCAGCACTTATTGCCTTTGAGAAGTAAGGGATCCTTTTGACACTGAATCTCGGTGTATGCGGTCTCATTGGAGTAACCCGTCTGAAGCATTTAGCAATGGGATTGGAACCTGTGATGTAAGAATCAGCTTCTTATTGGTACTTTGATTGGTAATGTTATTTGAGAATTTTCACTCCTTCACTCATTTAGAGGTGTTAATATATACCGGTAAATAGTTTTTATTTAGACCTTTATTTGGAACTCAGTGACATTGTCCTAACATGTACTATGAGGTTTTTAAGGTCTCATTCACTTCAAATGCTGGGTGCATGGTTAAGTAACATTACTGCATCATGTTTTTGTCTTAGGTTTGATGCAGTGAATAATCAAAGTACTCAGAAGTACTGAAAGCTGGGCTCATTTACAGGGTAATGAACAAAGACCGTGATAAGAGTTTAAAAACAAATTCAGACATTGAGAGTATATGTTATCCACAAAAATATCTCTATGGCATATATATAGTATTAAAAAGTTTCAAAATTAAAAATTATTATAGAATTTAACAGCATAAAATATTTATCACATGTATCGTTTGAGGTGGTTTCGGAGATTTATATACCAACAGAAGTAAATAAACACTAATGCAGCAAGATTAATTAAGGTCAAACGATTATGCACTGATGTGTCCTCAGCTGAGAATTTGCATCAAAGCGTACATCAAGTAATTAATGATGTTTACCGCATTTGTGTTAGACTGACAATACAACCTTTATTTATAGAATATGGCGCACACATCAATACCTGAAAACCTTTTGCATATTTTAAACAAATAATTAATCGAAGAAGACTGTAGAAAGTACATTATTATAATTATTTTTTGACAATTTCCGATAACTTTGAAAATTTAATTCTGTAATCAGTGTTTGTATTGCCTCAAATTTGATTGCGCAAATGTACTATATTTTAATGTGTACACTGTAAATTTGATTAAGCATCAGTGATGAAGCAGCATTTCCTGTTGAACTTCGTAGCAATGAGTCCGGCTAGAAATCAAGCTAAACTTCAGGATTATATAAAGGGAATGCCCTACCACTAGGCTACCATAAAGACAAAGATGTATTTTGGTTATATAGGAAAAAATGCTTTGGCAAACACTTATAATGAATAAAAGCTTATAGAAAATATAATTTTATTCCTTGTCTTTTTAAAACATATGGAAATCTAAAAAAAAATGATTTACATGTACTTTTACAAAAAAAACATGGCTAGTTGGTTATGAAAATTATGGTGTCCAGATAAGGCTAATTGTAAAAGTGCTTCAGCATGTTTAGGAAAAATGTGCTAACACAGGCTAAGGCAACTTAAAATAACATGCAGTTGTGCTGACACAAAATATGCTGCCATGCCAACAGCCCAACACAGCTTTACCCAATCTATTACATGTAATCTTGACTGTGTGGTGTAAAAGCCTGCTGCAACATTTTTACAATGCACAAGTACATTGTCATTGTGTTGTCATAAACACACTAGACCATCGTCATAAGTGTTGTAGCACATTTTTAATTTTACTTCATGCTACCTTGTAAGTGTCTTAAACTGGCCAGAATGTTGTCATAAACTTACTAGCATGGTGTTATAAATGAGCTAGAGCCACATTGTTACTTTGCGCTAGCTCTTTGTTCCTTATGCAATAGCATTTTGTCACTTCATTAGCGCATTGTTCTTCATTGCTGTAACACGTTTACGAATGGTCTTATTATGACACATAAAAAAATCATAACTGGATACCATCTTTTTGGCTAATTAGTCGGTTAACAACTGTTAACATTACCATTCCTGATAAATTTTGATATGAACAAGTAATGTACATTTTCTTTATTTGAAATCATGAAAAACTAATATGTTATTTTATAACATCCTCAAAGGACTCCCTGTTAACCTATATTTTTAAAAAATTTTAGACTACCGGAAAATGTGACAGTATCTTTGAACTCAGTTTGATGGTTTATCTTATCTTATAACAGTGTATAAGCTGCACTTTTTAAAAAAAAATTCAATAAAAAATTTCAATTTCTTTTTGATAGGTGTGACTGTCATCAGAGTACTGAAATTTGGTTCCAAGCACGATCATGATTGCCAGAAGAGCATCTGTTGGGGGATGACAATTAAGGAATAAACAGCATAATGAAATTGAAACATTCATGTGAAACAGTCTTAGTTTATGATATTGACTTTAAATATTCATATTTAGATTTTGATTTGAGAAACAGACATAAATCCACAAATATGAACAAATCAATTGCTTTCAGTTTTTCAAGAGAAATAGATTTTGTTACAGAGTCTATTTTTAGTTTGGAATAAATATTCTTTTTAAGTATGTGTCAGATCTTGCATGTTAACATCTGTATTGAGGTCTTCCCTTTCCAAGAGAAGACATACCAGTTCTAATAGTTAAGGTTATAAATGTGTGTAAATATCTGTATTTTTACAGTATAATTGATTGATTGTTTACTGTTTAACGTCCCTCTCCAGAATATTTCACTTATATGGAGACGTCACCATTGCCGGTGAAGGGCTGCAAATTTAGGCCTATGCTTGGCACTTATGGCCTTTGAACAGGGAGGGATCTTTATTGTGCAACACCTGCTGTGACACGGGGCCTCGGTTTATACGGTCTCATTCGAAGAACCGCCCCATTTAGTCGCCTTTTACAACAAGCAAGGGGGTACTGAGGACCTACTCTAACCCGGAAAGGTTTTTGCTATTTGAGTCAAAGAAACAAAGAATGGTAGCAAAGTTGACAATTGTAACATTTCACTTTCTGCTTATCGCTAAGAAGGAAGACCCACTCGTTGCTTTGCAACGAGCTTTGCTCTAGTGTTTCTTATTAGGGTCTTCCGCTTCCTTCGGAAGACCCTACTGTTATTCTACTGTTTCTTATTAGGGCTTTTCGACTTTTGTCGAAAAGACCTATTGTTTTCGTTTTGTTTATTATTATTATTATTATTATACTGAACACTTCTATCGTTCAGGATATGGGGAGTACCTTTAAAACTAGGTGTTTTATTTAATAACTACTAAATAGCAAATTTAAATCTCACGTGCGTGAAACAAGAACAACTTCCGGTATAGTCACTTCCGGTTTCTACCAAAGGAAAACTGAAATTTCTAAATAAGCCAAAAACGTTTTTAATTTTAGTGTCTAGACTCCCAAATTTAAGATATGAATTCTAGAGAC